GGTTAAGAAACAACAGGGGGAAAGAGGGTCCCATACAGATGGGCTAATTAGCAACTTGTAAGACCTTCCACGAAAGCAGCTGGTCCAGGCACATGCTTAAAAGATTCGCAGAATTTTTAGAATTGAAAGGGTTTTGAGGGAGCATCTAGCTCAACCACTCATTTTATGGAGGGAAAAACTGAGACCCAGTTAATTGCTCCAGGTCACAGAGGGTCCTGTTGCAGAATCGGGCTAACAATTCTTTGTGCTCTGTCTCCCAACCGAAGTGTCTTAATTTCCGCCTAAAATGACAAAGTAAGAGAGTTTTCCCAAGAAATTCGTATCGGGTGTCATCTCTGGTTTTCTATAAGATTTCTCTGAGTGTGCAAAATCTCTAGCACACAGTGTGACTCAGGTAATTGTTGGGCCATCGTGTTTCTTCACAGGGATTGCGTCATTTTCATGCATGCAATTTTCATGATGCAATCCAGCAATGTATTTAACCCAGCAGCTTTGATCACTTTAATAGCCTATGTTTCTCTTAAAAACAATGGGCCTCACGAAGTGGCAGACATTTGGGGGACGAGTCTTTATGTTGTAGTTCCCCCAAACACGGATTATGCTCCCTTCTACTATTTCTATTCCCTTTGCCAAGCAATTCTTCCCAACAGCCACTGAACTATTTAGCATAGTCATGAGACTGCTTCACCTAATGAACAGTTTCGCTACTAAAAAATTCCCAAGACTGGCCAAGAGGGGGAGCAGCTAACCATGTCACTCCAGAGTTTTGGCTCTGGGACCATTTTAAGACAGAGTTGACAAAAAAAAAATCTTGCAGAAGATCTTGTCTTTGTTGGGTTGGGGGAGGAGAGAGGCGGGGAGGGGAGCAGAGAAAAAAATGTAAAAGACAAGATCTCCTGAGTAAATTGGGAGCATGGAGACCATGGGGGAGGGCTGAGGGGGTGGGGGGAAGAAGGGACAGGAACAGAAAAAAATGGAGAGCTCAATAAAATTCAAGTATAGAAAAAAAAGCTTGCAGAACAGAAAAAGTACAAAAGCCAGTCCTCATTTCCAGAGACACACATTTAAAGAACAGGCAGCCTGGCAACATTGCTCAGGGGGTATAAACTGAGTCTGATCCCCAAAACCCACAGTGGAAACAAAACTAAGTCCTGAAAGTTGTTGCCTGACTTTGACACACACCCTGTGGCATGAACATACCAGCTGTACACACGCATGATGATGATGATAAGAAGTAGCGATAGTAGTAATATAATTTTAATATTTTAAAAATAAACCCAGGAAACTGGTTGAAGTGCTATATGGAGATACTGTCAAATGAGGTCTTTCTTGTATTTATGCAGGTCTGAAAACATACACACACAACTTAGAATGTACAAATCAACTTATAAACTATGAGTCACTTGAGATATACGAACAACAGAAAATGAGAGGTGCAGAAGCAAAACAACCCCCCAATTAAAATATTCTTAGAGACAAGGAAACAGGAAAAAAGATTTGTTCTTCACATTTGATAAGTCTAAAAATGGCAAATCAGGTAATGAACCACACTCTCTTGCAACGGAGGCACAGTAACCAAAACCTGGGTCAGTGAAGCCATTTCATGCATCTACATAACACTTTGCTAAGACAGGAAGTTGCCAAGGCTCAAAATCATCTCTTGTGAGTATGCATTCTGAACTTGGACCTGGCCAGACCACCTCTTATTTCCCTCTCTCCTTCTGCTATTTCCTCACTATGTATCTCCAGGGGTTTGTGTGTAACTCTGCTATCTTCTTCGTTCCCTAGCCACCAATCTTGTTTCTTTGCCGAATTTCCTCTCTTCCCTTTCCATCAAAGACACAGGTTTGTCCTCTTTATCACAGTTCGGGCAGTTCTTTGATCAAAACAACCTTACCCTTGGACTTCTGAGAATTGAAATAACCCTAAAGCACTTTACTCAACACCCCTGGAACTATCAATCAAACATCCGATGCAGCGCCTACTAAAAGGATCGCTGGGCACCAGACAACTGATGTTTTGCTATGAAAAATGATTTCAGAAAACGTCAATAAAATGTGCAAAGTATTCCAGCTCTGGTCTGATCTCCAGACCAAACGGATTTCAGCGGTTCACAACAAATTTTAATTGGTACTCATTAACTTTATTGTCTTTGCCATATTTTAAATTAGAGTCAGAAAAAAATAAACGGAAGTTCTATAATCATGTTTAGTAGGTTTGGGAACTTATAAAGGTAAATTTTAATGTATTTATTGAATGTGAAGAAGAGCAATTGTTTATATGTTTTTTAAAAAAATCCAAGCATATGTTAACACTTACTCATAGCGGTTCTCTATATAACTTTCTTCAAAAGAAAGCCTGAACATTGTAATCATACTATGTAATATACTGCTATAAAACCATGGGGAAAGAGAAGGGGGAGAACATTAAACCAGCAGGCCCATAGGCAATGACTGTGGGCTCTATTCCTGAGAAAGATATGTATAACCAGAAATAGGACAATTCTCTTTGGAGAAGTCTGTACCAAGAGTTGGATATTTGTTATAGTCAACAACTTTCTCTGTAAGAAACCCAGACCTATGCTTTTGGGTGTGTCTTACATTTTTTTCTGAGCATCTCTCTCAACCTCAAGCTTAAGCATTTATTAAATGCCTTATTTCTTATCTTGGCCTCCAAGTGTACTGCATCTAAAAAAGAAAAAAAAAGGAATGAGGTAGTTTAGGGAAGGTGGGCTTGGGGATGGGGAATCTCCACTGCATCTTGCTCTCAACGGAAGCAGGACTTGTTTCCTTTGTAATTCTGCTATGAAAGTCCCATGTGGTGATTTGTAGAGCCATTCACATCTATGCCAGAGTCGAGAGATTGTCACTGTTTCTGGGCACGTAGTGCACACCTGTAGCCCTAGCACTAGGGAGGGAAAGCAAGATCACAAACCACAGGACTCTCAAAAAATTAGATAGACTTGGAGGGGATGGATAATGAGAATAGGAATGAGTCGCTGCTTTCAAAACAAAAGCAGTGATCCAGAGACAAGGAAGAGTCTAACACTGTACTTGCCAATAATATCTATTTTCACAAAGTATTAGCATGTGTCCTTTAACAGAAAAAGCTAGATATACCAGGGCTGGGTTAATCAGGAGGATATAAAGATACATATATTTATTCTCTCCCATCCAGAGAAATGAAATAGAATTAAAACCAAACGGTTTGGAGGTATAGGCCAGTGGTTGAGTACATGTATAGCGTGTGTGATGTGCTGGCTTCCTTCCCCAGCCACAGCATGCAAAAACAAGACCAAATACATCTTGCACACAGTGTACTTGAAACAGTGAATAGGATCAATGGTATACACTAAAAAAAAAAAAGAATCCAGACAGTATTTAAGTACAACTACATTACAAATAAAATGTGTCACAGTCTAGCCTGGACAGCTTACTAATACTTATTAAATTGGTCACAAAAAAAAAGTTTCAAATAATGACTCTCAAATGCCTGAAATACAACCTGTTCTATAGTTGAGAACTGTCTTATCAGCTCTATCAAATCTAATTTCGTCTAACTTTTCACCATGGTAACAAGCCCTTTGCAGGAATATTCAAAGACGTTTCACATCTAGAAAATTTGCCTTGTACTCCTTCACCACGCATAATGTCAAAAAAAAAGCTTGCTTCAAAGGTACCATGTAATTAGAATGGCCTTTAAAACGGGCACAAAGAAAGTTGTTTTGATTAAATCACGTCTACTTCACAACAATCCTGAGTGAGCAACATCACAGAAAGGAATCCTAGGGAGGCTGGGACCCCATATTCTAGTTTTGCATCTGTTATCTGTGGTGTGGCTTCAGGTAGGGCTTGAAATGCCTCTCATCTGCCTCCTTCCTTTCTATTAAAGTAACCACATTAGAGGGTTTAGAGTCCTGTGGTTTTTCCATTCAAAGACTATACCAGACCTCAGCTCTTAAGGAGCCTGGAGAAGCAGCCAAGCTTAGTAAAGAGCATAGAGCAGTGGCTACTTCCAGGTTATTGGCTGCATGGATGCTCAAGAGCTGAGCACCAATCCTGTCTATGTGCTATGGGGATTCGAAGAACTGTAGTTGGTAGTCCATTGGGAAATTTAATATGAAGTCCAACATCTGTAGAACCTCTCTACTGGATTCGGGGGTGGGGGGGGACAGTTCTGAGATGCCTGCTTTTTATTAGGAAGTCGTTTGTTCAGTGACTTGCGTCAACAACACTATGCAGTGTTCACCCAAAGAAAGGAAAGGAAAGGATTTAAATGAACCTCATCTGCAGGGAGCCGGACGGATTGCCATTACAAGATGGCGCCGGCATCCTGTCTTGTTGAAAATAAACAACTCCATATTTGGCTATGCCTTTGAGAGCTGCATGTCTCCCTGTCTCCCCGTCTCCCCCCCCCCTTCCCGCATGCATGGATGAGGATCCTTGAGCCTATCCCTATGCGGTCTGGTGTCAGCTGTTGATGGCAGCCAATCACAGGGCAACCCGTGTGCCAATTCCCTATTTAAGCAGCTGCCTCAGTGCCCTTCGTCCCTTCGCTTCATGCTGTCTCTCCCCTAAGCTCCCTGTCCCTTCGCTTCATGCTGTCTCTCCCCTTAGCTCCCTGCCCCTTCGCTTCCTACCCTTCCCTTCCTGCCCCTCGTTTCCTACCCCCTTTGTTTCCTGCTCTCCCCATCAATCAAGGACACTCCAGTAAAGCGTGTTCTGAGTAGAATCCTGGTGTGGTGGTTGTTCTTTCTCGCCGGTCGAGAAGTCTGCCACACTCATCTATTTTTAACTCCCATTGACCATATTTCCATCATGCCTAGTATACAGATGCCAGTGCAAGCTGCTTAGCTAACTTGCCCCTGGAAGCCTGCTTAAACCACACGGCCACCATCACATCTTAGGAGGAAACTGAAGCACCGAGAGAGAACAGAAGCCATCTGAGAAGCGCTCACACCCAACAGCTGTCACCTCTTACATGCAATTCAGAACACATACCATCAAACTTCTTGTAGCGGGACGCGAAGATGGCCTGCAAATGGTTGCACTGTTCACTGAGCACGCTCTGGAAATCATCTTTACTTTGCAGGCCGTACTTCTCTTCCATCTCTTGAGAACAGCAGGTGTAGCCATGGGGACAGATCTTCAAATGGTCGCCTGGAAGGCAGAAAGACAATCTGTGTCAGCACTAGCCAGCAGGTCCAAGAGAGAAAGGCTCGCTTTTGGTGTGCAATCCTCTTCACAGTCGCCAGGGAAGCCCTTTGTGAAAGCTCAACCATTGCACAGATCTAAAAGGACTCGTGGACATGAAAACTCTTTATTCTTGTATCCCAGTTTTGTTGTGGTTGTTTTGAAATAGAACTTTATTTTTTTTTTTAAAAAAAGCTCTCAGCCAGGTGTGGTGGTGTGCACCTTTTATCCCAGCACTCTGAGTTTGAAGCCAGCCTGCTCTACAAAGTGAGTTCCAGGACAGCCAGAACTACACAGAAATCCTGTCTCAAAAAACAAAAAAAAATGCAAATAAATAAAACATCACACACCAAAATTAACCAGGCCTAACCACTTCACAACTTAATGAACTTATATAGAGTTAGAATTGGAATTTAAAATGGAAGTTGTGATGAGTCATAAAGCTACCATCACCCTCAAAACAAAAAAACAGAACTTTGTAAAACTTTGTAATTAAGATGGCTTAACCACAGAAGTCACTGTGGGGCCGTAAGAACAGCATCGATTGATAGTAACACAAAGCTCTTTCATAAATTCCTTATGATTCTGTGTGAAATACTTCATAATTCTTGTAAATAAGAGATTCTTTTAAAAGAATTTGGGAGTTTATATTTCAAGAGAAAGAGAGAATGGTTTATAAAGTGTGATAAGAACCCAATAGGTAAGTCCACATTGTAGTATAGGAAAGTAACATATAAATTTATAAAAGCATGAATTCTACTGAGGAAAAGCAGAGACCCATACACATTTCACAGGGTTGGTCATACAAAGAAAAACTATGGAGGTTCATATTGGATAATCTCTATGCTAAATCCTTTCTTTATAAGGGATCGCAGATAATACTCTATGTTGAGATTTTATATTGCCACCTGCTAGGTAGGTTATCAGACTATATCTACCTTCTGTGTGATGTAGTTACTTATTCCTCATCTTCCCACAGACCGGTGGTTTCCAATAAGTGTGATCTTTATGTGGTGATGTAGCCCAGAGTTAAAAGTGTCAGATGGCTCATGTATAGCGACCTAGGCCACAAAGTGTCTATGCTCTTAGAACTACAATCTGTCCACAGTTCAGAGGTAAGGTTTGGATGGGTTCTCCTATGACTCCTCCTCTTGGATCTTGGTCAGTCACAGAATGAAAATTCTGCTTTGAAGGAACCAATGCATCACCTCAAAATGACCAAGGAGGTTCAGAAAAAGCCCAAAAGTAAACCAGACCAGGTACTATGACTTGAGTCTCTCCAATATTTACTGGGTTGATAAAACTGTATACAAATTCACAAGATTTGATTTCACTGCTCTGCTATTGCTGTCCACATACGTAAGACAAAGCAGAATCTGAAAAGAATCAAAATCTCAGGGATCTGGGCCTAGTATACCTATTGTCCCAGCTACTGGAGGGGTAACATGGTGAGACTTCATCTCAAAATGCAATCTCAAGAATAAATCCGCTAGAGACATGGGAGCTTGACACTAGTGTGTTAAACAGACAGAGGGCCATGGGATGACAAATACATCTTCTACTGCTTGGCTTTTGTATACTTTCATAAAACAAGCCTTCCCCTAACACAGACACCAAAGGAGCATTAGGGCTAGGTGGGAGTGTTGAACATAAAATAGAGTTTGTATGTGAATTGCTTATCACTAGATTATTACTGCCTAGATACAAATAATTACATACATATATATATGTATATATATATATATATATATATATATATATATGAGAGAGAGAGAGAGTAATTATTTTTATCATGCACTCAGTATATATGCTGTTGGTTGTTTTTTACTCTTGGGGGGGGAGCTCACCACGAAGCTCCCAAATAAAAACATGGAGGCTTTTTATTTCTTATAAATGTCTGGCCTTTGCTTGGCTAGCCAGCCTATCTTATCTTAAATGAATCTATCTATCCTTTTGCCTCTGAGCGTTTCCCTTTCTCTTACTTCTGTAAACCTTACTTTCAGTTTTACTCCACAACTGGCTGGATGGCTGGACCCTCCCCTTGTTCTCTTGCTCTTCCTTTCTTCCCAGATTGCCCCTCCTATTGTACTCCCTGCCTCCCAGCCCCACCTATCCTTTCTCCTACCTCACTATCGGCCATTCAGCTCTTTTATTAGACCACCAGATGTTTTAGACAGGAGAAAAAAAAATCACAGCTTCACTGAATTAAACAAATACAGCATAAACAAAAGTAATGCACCTTAAAATAATTTCCTACAACATATAATCATTATTTGCAATTAAAAGGTACAGAGACTGTTACTAATGAAACTAAAATGTGTGAGGCATGAAAGGGCAATCTTCAAATAAACAATCATTTCTCCACCCACAAACTATTGTTTCCTTGGTGATTTCTGAAAGCCATGGACAATAGATAATTTTTTACTAACAGGGAAAAAAGATTTGAAGAAGATTAAAAAATAGTTTACAGCTGAAGTTATAAAAATAACTCAGCTCTCAGTGAAAGAAAAGCAGTTACAAAGGTTGCTAAGGTTCAGATTGACGAAACCCCTTTTGCCTGGGAAGAACAGTAGAGCTGGCTCTGGCGATGTGAGTGAGGGGAAGCTGGATCGCAGGACCTGAGAGCGGGAGAACTGGCCCTGCTCCTTGCTGCATTGGGTAAACCAACCAATGCAGTGCTGGAGAGTTTATTCTGGAGCTGAGGATGAGGGAAAGCTAGCGAGCTCACCAACCGGTTACCACCCAGGCCCAGAAACAGACCTACAAGTTGACCCATCCCAACATCCACCCAATCTATGAACTATTGGAGCATGTGAAGGGGACAAACCTGCAGATCCAAAACTGCAGATTCTCCATGACACAGGGCAACAAACAGGATATCCAAGAGGATTATCACTGAGAGCCCATTATCATTACTGGCGTTATAGCATAAATCAAAGGCCTCGAACCAGACCAATGACTTGTAGCAATGAACACGTCCAAGATGAATGGACTAAAGGGTAAACTGTGTGCTTCAATGGGCCACACTGTAGCTTCCATGACAAGATTCTTTTTGTTGCTGTTGTTGTTGCTTTGTTTTGGTTTTGTTTTGTTTCTTTGTTTTTCTTTTAAGCACAGTTTTGATGTATGTGTGCATGGTAGGAGGAGACAGGGAGATAAGTGGGATCGGAATGCATGATGTGAAATCCATAAAGAACCAATAAAAAATTTAAAAAAAAAACTTAAAAAGTCCCTCTTTTGGGGTTGTTGGTACCAGAACACATAATCAACAATGATAGGCAGTTTGTCTGCTGCTTTCAAGCTTTAGGGGTCCTCTAATAGTCTAAACACATAAAAGAGTACAAAGGCCCCAACTATATCATCTTACGGCACAGTACTCAGAAGGCAGACTCAGGCAGATCTCTAAGAGTTCAAAGTTAGCCTGGCATACATAGCATTCTCACCCCTTTACAAAGACTCCATTGGGCATGTATGAAATTCATATATTCAAGGCACACACACACACACACACACACACACAAAAATCTCAGGAGTTTGGAAAATCTATTCCACCTATTTTTTAAGACACGGGCACTGTGTGGCTCTGGATGATCTGGAAGCCATCTTATATAGAAAATACCTCAAACTCACAGAAATCCACCTATCTCTGCCTCCCAAGTATTGGGATTAAAGGTGCTTACATGCCTAGTTGTTAAACCTTAGGAAGCTCACACAGGGAAAATGGATTATCTGTTGATTTACTGAATACTGTCAAAATAGACCAAAATAAAAGACCCCTTTCTTCAACAGTATATATGTGTCTGAGGGTTTGTGCGTGTGCACGTGAACACAAACACACACATACACACCCCAGACACTCTATCCATCTCATGTCCACCAAACCTCCAAGAGGACCTTACTATGGTGTGCTTATACTTGATTATAGAGAGTACATTTATCTGAGACAATTTATAAAGACAATTAGTACACCTTCATATTGGATCTTTCCAGAAAGATGTGACCCGCTGGTGAGAAAACCTAGCCTGTGTTGTGTAAAGGATACCAACAGGCTAGAAACATGGCTAATGTGTTGATGACCAAAGCCGTCTTCCTCTGAGAGTCCTCACTCTCTACTCCTCTGAGCTATATAAAAGGTGCTCCTTGAAAATTTAATTTCACGTCTTGGACAAAAGAAATGTGTACTCTAACACACGCTTGTAAATTAAACTCCAAAGCACACTGAAGCTGCTGGGGATTAAGGGACATGAGCAGTTAATGCTGCTGAGAAGTAGAAGGAAGAAAAAGGCAACAACAGTCTTGGGCATTTGAATTATAACTGTGTTGCAGTAAGAATCTCTGAGCACCTAAGCAACAAGAATTTTTACCTTTCTTTATTTTGTGTCTTGGGGTGAGGGAGGCTTGGTAGCACCTTTACTCGCTGAGCCATCTTACAGGCCCTTATGTGTCTTATGAAATTGACTATTTCTTCTTTGTTAAACTTTTTAATGTGTCGGAGTGGCTTGCCTGCACATATGCCTGTGTACCATGCATGTGACAGGTGCCTGCAGAGGACAAAACAAGGCATTAGATCCCACAGTACTGGAGTCGCACACAGTTGTGTGCTACCACGTAGGTGTTAGGCACAGAATGCCAGGTCGTCTGGAAGAGCATCATCACTGGTGACAATGAGTAAGAAGCCACCTTGGGCTGTCTCAGGCCCTCCTTTCCACCCTCTCCCCCCAGATAGCAACACAATAGAGTATCTTCATTTCCTTTGTGAGGAACTCTCTTCATAACTGAAGCAGTCAGTTTTTTTGAGAGCAGCCAGTGTAAACTCATTGCCTAACATTGACAGTTAAAATGAATCCACTTTATTCTTCAAATGCGCCACTCACTGCATCCCTTCCCCTTATTTTTTGAGCACCTAAATCTGAGTACATGCTCAGGGATTTGGCTCAGTGGTCGAGTGCTTACCTGGTATGTGTAAG